TAAAAACCAGAAAGACGATAAAAATATCTCACAAAAAAGACTGACAGCATATAATTTCTTAAATTCTAATGATAAAAACGAGCTCGAAACTGATAACAACAAAGAAGTTACGACTGATATATTTCTTTATTGTCTGCTAATCAAAATTCTACCATTATCATTAATGTACTTGCGTAGAATGATGATTTTGAATAATATGCTTCAAATCAACTAGCTATGGAGAATTTTTCGTTACTAACTCGACTGTTAACAGTCATGTCTAGTCAAATATTTTTGTCTGGCATTTAAGTCTTTGTCTGATTGCATATATATATTCTTGTTTTCATTTTTCACTGAACAGAATAGTTATCAAATATAAATAGTTAATTAGTATCATATCTATTGTACACAAGGGAAAAATTCTCATCAAAACTACATAGAAAAAAATTTGACCCTTCTTCAATCGAAAACCTTGTGAACGTTAGTTTGAGAATCCTCGTTTTGTCCACACTTCACCCTTGTATCGTTACAAAACTCGTATACAGTAGGCAGACTATCGATATTTATTAAGGGTAGTACATTGCAACAAAATCGAATGGCTTGGTCTCATTTCCATTGTAGAAGATTCATATCTTGTTATTATATCAGAAGTAGAACCTCTGTTAAACATTACTTAAGTGTCACGAGTAACCGTGTCTATGCATCAACACTTGATAGTGATGATTGTTCAAGCAGTAAATGCTTTTCTCATGCATTAGGATTGAGTACAATGATACAAAAATAGATATTTGCAACGGTTTCACCATCATCATTCTCACCATAAATTGCAGTACTTTTCATTTGTTCCCCATTCCTTTTCGAAATAATGAGTCTTTTTATTAGCTTTATTCTTTTCACCTTATGAGAATGATTTCACATAAGGCACATCACAGTTTTCAATCGCTAAAGGTAATAGCAATGCTTGAGATACATATATCATAATTCATAGATCTTAGTTTTATATCGTGTCTTACAATTTCATTACGCTATTATTTTATGTACTAGTCAAAAGACGTCTAATAACTAGTTGGTTTTTAACTGTACCAAGAAATATGAGACAATGAAGTTCGAGAAAAGTATCAATTCTAGTGCTACATCAGCTAAGATTTCTCGGACTTGTCGTATCAACTGTTCATTTTATTCGGAGAGATTTAGCAGCATTGAGTATTCATTGGATTTTAATTATAACTTCATGTAACGATTCAGCTACTCTTCCTTATCGTTCACAATAGTAATGAATATACTCAAGAAAGTAAAATGCAATTAAAAATTTAGTTGGTTCAAAACTCGTAGATTTGGCTAAAACGTTGAACTATTTTTGTCGAAGTAGACACTTCTATCGACTGAATATGGGAGCTGGATTCATCAGACTAGAAATTTTCTCTCTTTCTAGAAACAACGCTTGAGAACAATTGAGAATGTTCTATCTCTCTCCAAGAGTTGATGTACCTTGTTGAGTGTTTTTTTCACCTCAGAACACCTCTAAGAAAAACTCAGAGTCAATCGAACGAGATTAAAGTCAAATAAGAAGATCGAAACATGCTTTTATACATTCAGTTCATGAACTTCATTCCAAAAAAAAAACTCGACACTTCTGAATATTTCTGAGACTTGAAGATTTCAATTACATCACAGTTTGAGAAGCATTACACCAAATAGTGAGAGGCATAAGCAGTTGAAACAGCAAATCCACAGAAAACNATCTCGTTCGATTGACTCTGAGTTTTTCTTAGAGGTGTTCTGAGGTGAAAAAAACACTCAACAAGGTACATCAACTCTTGGAGAGAGATAGAACATTCTCAATTGTTCTCAAGCGTTGTTTCTAGAAAGAGAGAAAATTTCTAGTCTGATGAATCCAGCAAATCCACAGAAAACGAAATGAAGCCCTATAGCAAGTTAAGTTAGAAATCGTATATTGATCGACTAGATACAATCTCGACGTATCGGATATTCGTTTTCTTTGATATTCTTGTGAAATAGATAGTTCTCTGTATAAACAGCTACTATCTATTTAGAAAAAAAGGAAGGTATAAAAACGCTGATAAATGAATTTCAGAGCACCAAGAAAAGTCCACGTATAATTTTCGTACCGAAATCAAAATGTTCAAAACATTATGAACTACATATTTATATGTTAATCATAATGGTTTCTCGACTGTTATTCACGCTATCGAGTGCACTTAAAAACAGCAGTATGTTGTTTTGTTTTTGAAATGAATAATAGAAAGACTTTGAGTATAATCATTCCGTTGGATCCCAATGACTATGACATTCGAGTTTTCTGCTACTGAAATGTCTTTATTAGATATAACTAAATATGCAGAGAAACAATAGACAAACTATTCGTATGAAAAGATATGGTAAAGCTGAAAGTATGTTACGACTACCACCTTGTCTTGTCTCTATTTATAATAGATATTGAAGATCTTGGTGGAAGTGAGCAATACCAGCTGAGATACAGATTCTTCACTATTCGTATACAAAGTTTAACAATGCGAATCATCTTGATTTGTGTATTGCTTAGTGTCGTCGGCAAAAATCAAACCATCTTGATACAGTTTATTCAAGACGCTTTTCTTCAATCGGTAGAATTTGAGCTATTGAATACGAGTCTTCACTCGAACCAAACATGTGAAGAATGCATATGTGAATATTGAACTACAATTGAAGACCAAAACTGCAATGCATTAAATTGCTTTACGAACAACACCTGTCAATATTATTCCGCCTTTCCTGTATCCTACAAACTAAAAACACTCAATGTAGCTCGTTTATGTTTCCTTAAAAATAATTTTCCTAATACCAGTGCTTGTTGTGTACCGAATCTTACTGAACTAATCATTCGATTACAAATTGTAACATCGAACATTATAAATTTAACATTTCGGCCAGAAACATTCGCCTATGATATTAATATGCTGAAGGATGTCGCAGTTATTGGATATAGTATTGGCACAGTCTATTGGTTTGATCCTCTTAGTGTGAAATTCTTACAAAATATATCTTTGTAGACTAGTATGAGCATTGCATTACATAATGGTTTACTATTTACATCACAAAATTATGATCCGAAGATTTACGTACTTGATAATCAAATAACAAACATCAGCCATTCAAGTGTAGCCGAAACTAGTAAATATATCTGTATCAACAATGACGAAACCATGATTGCAGCTGGTCAAAGTGTTATGACGTTAGCCTATGTTTCGAGTTAACTTGGCGACAAATTATACATTTGAAGTCAATCATTTGATATTCTGCTCCCTTATTGGAAATCTATTTCCTTCTTTTTCATCATTTTTCAGCAACTTCTTTCATATTCATTTTCTACAGTACACGGACTCGCCAAAGTCAATGATACATTGTTTTATGTATTGACTTGAACTAATCGACGAATCATTGCTTATCAATATCAAAATCCAACATGGAACTCGAAACCATTTGTAAACGCAACCGGAAGTTGTAGTGCTTCACATCTAACAGTGGATGAATGTGGACGAATTTGGTATGTTAATTATTCATTTAGTTTACGTATTTTTTATTCATTGGATGTGGATGTAACAAGTTGGAACATGAGTTGAGGTTCGGATACAATCTTTAACTGTCTTCTACTTCCAAATTATGTTTTATTAGTCAAGCAAGTTAACGCTCAGAAAATCATTCAATATGATTCTCAATTAATATGTTAATGAAACGATCGATATTCAAAACGAAGATTTTCGACTAATATCTATATGACAGAGTTATATGAATATTGAAATTTCTCATACTTTTATTTTGAATTCTATCGATTTTTTATGAAAAAAATATACTACTCTAAGTAATTATATTTGTCTGATTAAAGTCTGCGGAATGTTCAAGTTCAAGAGATTCGATTGAGATAGCGCAGAAAAGGAATCTATGAAATTATCTCACTCAATCTTATAAAAAAGATTGTTAAGGTTACGAAGATATTCGAGAAAGATTTACAGATTTTTTTTCCTTCGATAACACTGATAAATCGTTAGTAAATTAAAATTGGAATTAAACTCTTCGCATAATTCCATGAAAACATTGTATTATTCAATAGTAATCAGTTTTTGCCATACGCAGTATAATTTTCTCGTCAGCTTTGATGAATCTATACTAACTATCTCAAAATTGAAAGGAACAAAATCATTATCTCATCTAGAATTTCTACTTGCTTTTTATGAATTTCGACATAGATCAATTTTTGATGAGCTGACTCGAGTTACACTGTAATCTATAGCAAGTTAGAGATTATCTGTTTTTTTTCCTTTATTAGCAGTAAATGTGACACATTTGAAATAAATCCTGTTGAGTAACAGAATATGAATATGATTTCGTCAAAAATATATTCCTTTCAGTATCAACAGAAACTTCTCTACATTCCATTTCTCAAAATGCATACTGCTAAGTACTACAAAGTGTATCAACAACTCATAAGAATAAGGCTTTTGGTGAGAATTAATGAAGTAAACTTGAACTCTGTCCGAGTCGAAATTTCGGTCTCTCGAACATCTAATTATTACAACAAAGTCGACAATTGTAATATGAGAGTTGTTAGTGCAATTCATGTGAGATTGCTTTATTCTATCAATTTTGGGACACTCCATCCTTCTATTTAATTCTTCAGAAATGCAACAAAGAATTGGTTCATAAATTTTCGTCCCTATTCTTCCAAACTCTTTTTAGATGGCATTTCACAAAGATTCACATCAATAAAATGTATTGCACTGGAATAAATTGAATTACAAAAATTCTATAAATTTTTTATGCGAATTTCCTTGTTCACTAATCAGCATGTTTATAATGTATCACTTAAAACCAAAACAAACATATATAATTGAGGATAAAAACAATAATCAAAACAGAAAAGAAAAAGAAAACTGACACATTTAACTATAATAAATGGAATAAATAAACGTGAATATGATTATAACAAAGTAGAAGAAAAAAACAATTTAGTTCTATATATTATTTTAAAGTTCTTGATCTGTACCAGTCTTCTTTGTTCCATCACGTTCATAACCAATAAGTGGTTCTGTAGCTTCTTTAGCTAAATATTTAATAAAGTCATCAACTTCACGTCCACCCTAAACAAACAAAATCAATTTCAATGTATCATAAGTTAAATAAAAAATATCTTACTTCATATTTTCTTGGATTATTTTTATCATTTTTAGGTACAAAATAAATTGTTGGAAAACCTCGAACATTATATGAACTTGGAACATCGTTTTCAGTGGTATCCATTTTAGCACTACATAAAAATATTAATTTCGTTTTGAAACATAATTTTTTTTTTCTATTTATCCTTACATGACAATACTATTTTCTTTTTTCAAGTTCTTAGCTAATTCATCATATTTAGGAGCAAGTGATTTGCTGAAAAACAAAAACGAAAAAGGTTCAATTAAAAAACTAACAAACAATTCATCTTACCAATGACCACACCTATAGAAAAAAAAAGTAAATAAAATAATAATTAAGAAATTATGTTTAATAAAAATTAAATTTCTTTACCATGGAGCATAGAATTCAATTAAAACATCTTTACTATTATCGTTAACAATTTCATCAAAATTTTTTGCAACAATAACTTTAACATCTTCAGTTTGTTCAGGAATTGGTTGTGATTTTAAATATGGTTCAAGCTCACCGGCAGCTAATTTACGAGCAAATGTTTCAACAGCTTCGAAACTAAAACAAAATTTTAATTTAAATATAACTCAACCTTTTTTCTTTTTCATTTAATAAAAACAAACCTGAAATCTTCAGACATTATATATTTTTCATCTCGAGGACCACGAGCAGCTACATATTTTGCATCTTTTTTAGCATCACTAATACCAAATTGAGATAATTCTTGACGAAAGTCTTCAGCATTACTGACAGCAAATCGTACATTAACTTTTTCCTCGGCTAATTTTTTAGCGACTTTTAATAAACGATTACGTACATAATTTGTACCCTTTGTATCACGAACATAGTCAACATTATAATAGAGAACTACTAATGGTTTAGCATAATCACCAGCGTTGGATGAAGTTCGATGACCGACAAGACCATGACTAAAAAAATCAGTATATAAAATGAATTATTGTATTAAATGAAAAAAAGACAAATTATCCTAGAAGTTAGCACAATAGTGATGATGCCTTTAGTTAACTAACAAGGGAACATAACCAGCTGTCGGACACCATTCGATTTCACATTTTGCTTGTGAAGTAGGCCTTGGTGCAGCTGAGAAAAATTTAAAAGAACTTAGACCCATTGTTGACTCAGGAAGAATCACGATCATTTTAATGAAATTTTTCTTTACAGCAAAGTGTTTTTGGAAAATTCAAAACAAAAAATTTTTACCTCAAATTTCACCTATAGACAGATTCAATAGTTCTGAAAGTCTCAACAAAAACGAATATGTTCTCAATAAAACAGCTATTCATCATGAGAGGAAATAGTAACCTATAAACAAACTTTCAGATTAAAACGGTTTATTTTGGATTTTTCGAAAATATCAAAATTTCGCTATAACGGGCATCAGTTCGATTTCCTTTCAGTTTTTCTTAGTCTTACAAAGATCTACTGGTAGCCCTAATATAAAATCGAACGATGTGCAAGAGATAGAAAATTTTATTAGCAGAAATTAGATATTGATTCTTAATGGTATACTTTCTGACTATCAGTGTAATGCATTATTCTCAACATTTACTTCGCGGGCAAATGAAATATCAACACTAAATCGGTAACTTTAATTCTTGAAGTTGAAATACATCGGCTAAGTCAGCTTTCAATTATAAAATTTCTTCTGTTACTGATACATAAAAAGATTGCGAATCAGTCAAATATTTCCTTCCAATCGTGCGAATCCTTGTCGAAAACGTCTCTTTCTTCTCATGAAATGATTATGAAAAACAAAATTAATGAAAATATAATTTGATGCTTTCAGACATAAACATAAGTTTGATTTTAATAAAAAAAAACATCGAATTCAACTGAAATCGCACGTTTATTCGTACTACTGCCGGTTTATTTACATTACCGACAAATATCGCCAGTATAGGACACCCTATGCCGAACAGACTTCTCACTCTAAAATGTCCTATCTTCTGCTAAACACACCCTTATGAGGTGAATAGGATTGAAACAGGCCGTCTGTTCCGGGAGGGATCACATCACGGTAGGTTTTGTTATTCCTTCTATCTAGTTGCTACTTCTAGTCCTCTGAGCAGAAAAACACGTTATGGGAGAATTTTCGAACTTGCTGCCGAATTTTTAGCTCACCTTCCCCAAACTCTGATACTGAATAGCTTATTGATGATTTGTGTTCGGTTTGAATCTCATGAGAATTCAACCGGAAAGTATAGATATTATTCTTTTCATAATAAAATGAATCTCTTTGTCCAACACAATACCAAACTAGCCATTCTATCTATTTAATGGCATGTGTAACAATGAATTTTAACTACTCATCATCAATATTTCATATAGTCGCTTGCAACAATATTGCTTAGCTTGTATCATTCAATTTATAAAGAAATGCAAAAATTTCAAATTTACTATGCTCTCAGTTATTGAGTTTACACCCATACCTGATTAATTTCGGCGCAGACATTAGTTATAGAAATCAAAAGATGGATATCCGAGAAACTAAATCAAAACTTTATGGTCGATAGAATAATAAATTTCCTATAAGATAGGACTAAAAAACAGAGTGTTGATCTTTCATTCTCAGCAACTTGTTTTTTTTTTCTTTTGCATTGAACTGTAGAAAAAGACGATTCCGATCACTTTTCCGTCAAATTTAAGAGAGCTTCCATGAGCTGATCAAGCATCGCTTCAATATACAAGGCACTCGATAAAATTTTTTTTTTTGGTTTTTTTTGCTCATTCGAAACTTCAATGTCTAAAACTACTGACCCTGAAAGTTTAGTATCTAATACATTTTCTATGAAAACT